ACTTCTGGGTTTCCAGTGGTTTATTGGAGATAAGAGTTTTACGGACTTTCCTGCCCAGGCTGGCTCTGAACCGCGATCCTCAGATCTCAGCCTCCTGAGTAGTTAGGCGCCCGGCTAATATACATTTTCTTGATCCACTCATCTACTGAGGGGCATCTGGGTTGGTTCCATATCTTAGCTATGGTAAATAATGCTGCAATAAACATAGTTGTGCTGGTAGCTTTAGTATGGTCTTGTTTGTGATCATTTGGGTAAATGGTCAAAAGTGGGATTGCTGGGTCATAGGGGAGCTCTATGTGAAGTCTTTTGAGGAACCTCCATACTGCTCTCCAAAGTGGTTGAACAAGTTTACACTCCCACCAACAATGCAGTAAGGTTCCCTTCTGTCCACATCCCCTCCAGCATCTGTTGTTATTAGAGTTCTTGATTATAGCCATTCTAACTGGGGTGAGGTAGTATCCAAGTGTTGTTTTGATTTGCATTTCTTCATGTGTCTAATAGCCATCCTTCTTTCCTCTTCAGAGAAGTTTCTCTGTAAGTCTTTATCCTACTTATTTATTGGGCAGTTGTTTCTTTGAGAATTTGTTGTTGGGGGATTTAAGTTTTTTAGTTCCAAGTATATTTTAGATATGAGGCTCTTGTCCATTGTATGGCTAGTGAAGATCTTCTCCCAATCCGTAGGCTTTCTACTGATCTTGCTAGCTATGTCCTTTGCCAGGCAGAAGCTCTGAAATTTCATGCAATCCCATTTGTCCAATCTTACTTTGATTTGTTGTGTTTTTGGGTCTTTATTAAGAAAATTCTGGCCGGTGCCAAGGAGACCTAGGGTTTCTCCTATTCTGTACTGTAATGTTTTCAGGGTATCTACTTTGACTCCAAGGTTTTTGATCCATTTGGAGTTGATTCTGGTGCAGGTGATGGAAATGGAAAGACTTGGAAAAAATTATATTAAGTGAAGTAAGCCAGGCCCAAAGAAATATAGGTCCCATGGTTTCCCTTATTTGCAATAACTAGTATATGTCTGAGACAAACAGAAATGGTCAGACAAGTTGATGTTAGGTGAAATGAACCCCAAGATAAGGACTCAAATGGTTTTTCTTTCTTGCTATTGTTTCTAACATATTTTATAAGAGGATTTCTTTGTTGCTTTGTATGTCCCTCCCTCCATGGTATAACCCTGTTTTCACTGTATTTGATGTTGGTATAATTTGTGAAGGGGAAGGGAAAAAACAAATTGTTTAAATAGGGATGCAAGTGGACCCATTGCAACAATGAGATGTACAAGAGGTTATGTTGAAAATCGAACTTTAGAACTTTGGCGGGGGTGGGGGGTGGGGGGATAGGAGGGCAGAGATGGTAAGGAGAAACAAAGGAGGAGGCAACAATGCCGGATAAGAAATGTACTCATTACCTTGCTCATGTAATTGTAACCCCTCTGTGTGGTTTTTCACAATAAAAAAACTTTACATAAATAAATGAAACAAAAAAAGAAAAAAAAAGAAAAATGGATGGAATTGGAAATCATGTTGAGTGAGATAATCCAAGGCTTTAAAGCCAAATATCCCATTTTCCATCATCTGTGGGATCTAGACCTAAGATTATAATGATGATGATGATGATGATGATGATAATGATATGACATGATGACTATGGGATATGCATGTAGAAAGGGAATTGTATGAGGTACCAGTGAGAGTGGAAATGGGGAAATAATACTGAAAAGTAAAGATTATCAAAGTACATTATGTTTTATATCTCTATCTATCTATCTATCTATCTATCATCTATCTAAAGATAAAATAATGAAAACTGTCAAACCCTGAAAGGGGGCTAATGAAAATACAACAGGGGATGTACTTATTAAAAACACTGCTCACTTGTGTGAAACTATCACAATTAAATCCCCTTGTACTACTAAAGTATGCTCATTATAAAATTTAATTTTTAAAAATATCTCAAAGGTGGAGAAGGGCTATGCAGACAGTAAGACTGGTCTGTTAGATAAATGGAACTTAACTTTCAGCACTTGTTTACTGTGCTTGTTGTGGTTAGCCATGCCATCTCTCTCTTTTATGCCTTCTAGTTTCTGTCTTATGCTGGATCCTTGCCACATTTATGGAGACGATACTTCTAGAGGTTTTGGGGGGGGGTCACATCCTAACAACCTCCTTTGAAATCTCACTTCCCCTGGATTTATAGTAGCCTATGTTTTTCTAGAGCCTCAGTTGATGTACTGCTAGATGTCTATGATCGAGTGTATGCTCCCTGAAGTAGGCTCCATCTGTCTTGTTTACTGCTGAATCATAACATGGTGCTTACCCAGCACAGAGTAACTGTTCAATAAGTATATGTTTAATTATTATAAGAAATCCAAGGTGGTGACTGCTTATAAAAAGGGTCTTCTGGGGCTGGGAAGGTGGCTCAGTGGTAGAGCACTTGCCTTGCATGCTCAAGACCCTGGGTTCGATTCCTCAGCACCACATAAGCAAAAAGAAAAAAGCCAGAAGTGGTGCTGTGGCTCAAGTGGTAGAGCGCTAGCTTTGAGCTGAAGAGCTGAGGGACAGTGCCCAGGCCCGGAGTTCAGGCCCCATGACCGGACCCAAAAAAAAAAAAATAAATAAAAAGGGTCTTCTGGTCAGGCAGGCTTGGTGACAGTGGCACATGCCTGTAATCCCAGATACTTGGGAAGCCGAGATCAGGAGGATTATGGCTCAAGACTAACCTGGGCAAAATGTAAGACACTATTTTCAATAAATAAGCTATGGTCTGCTGGTCCATACTTGTACTCCCAACTAAGCAGGAGGCAAATGTGGATGGAAGCCCAACGCTAGCTAGCCCTGGGCAAAAGCACAATACCTTATCTGAAAAGAGTAACTAAAGCAAAATAGTCTGCCAACAGGGATCAAGTGGTAGAGTACCTACCTAGCAAGCATGAGTCCCTGAGTTCAAACCCCAGTATGGTTCCCCCCACTAAACATGCTTTCCCTCTGTTTACATTCAAAATGGCTGAAAGAGAATAGCCATGCTTTTTGCCTGCATTGTCTCACTTTTATCATGAACTCTATAAGGTAGGTCTTCTGAGTTAAATAGCGGTTGTCCAGGGGCATGTGTATAGCAAATGGCACAAGATTTGGGGTGTCTATTCATTTTGGAAATACCAACTTATTAAGATTCTCATTGGTGTACTCCTCTGTGGACCTTATAGGACCTCCCCCATTCTCCTCCTCTTCTTTTGTCCCCCCAGGCCTACACCTATACCATACCCATTCTGCCCATGGATCTCAGTGCTACATGGAAAATGTGGTTTCCACTGAAGAGTGACTATAAAGAAGTAGAAATAATAATCTCTGGATTGATTATAAGTGCATTAAAGGGAGCTCCTGCTAAATTCCCTCAAGTCAATGCTTTTATATGATGCCTACAATGCTACCTTCAGAAACTTGACTCCAGTTCCAGACAACTAGTTCACACCAACTGTCACTTCCACTCCCCCTTAGTTGTGCCTTCTCCTTTAAACTCTGAATAGAATGGCCTTGGTAGAAGGAGGGAACAAAGTCAAGCTCTGATAGAGGAAGGAGACCTGCTGCTATTACCTAGTATTTTCCTTTGCTTTCATTCTCTTCTTCAGTGACTCAGCCAGCTTCTTTCTTGCACTTTATCACCTCTTTGGTGCAAAGCAAACAGCACAGTTTAAAAGGGTTAGCCCACTCTATGCTGATGTTCTTGTTTACTGGAATTACAACCAGCACAGATGGAATGTTGACAGAAGAGCAATGATTTTTTTTGTGTGTGTGTGAGATGGTATTGGAGCTTGAACTCAGGGTCCCTCCCTCTCATTTGGCTTTTTCACTCACTGTTGGTGATCTACTGCTTGAGCTATGCTTCCATTTTAGTATTTTGCTGATTAATTGAAGATGAGGTCTTGAGGACGTCTCTGCCACAACTGGCTTTGAAACTCTAGGACTCAAGACTACAGAATAGCTAGGATTATAGGTTTGAGCCACTGGCACACAGTGAGAGTAGTGGTTTCTATCTCATTGTGAAGACAGTGTTTCTTCTAATCAAGTCTGGCACTGCTGTCATGACAGACATAGCAGATGTGGGCTGAGGGAATGGTTGAGGGTTTCTCTAAGAGGGATTGAGGGGTGCTCCCCACTTTTTATACCCTTCCAACCCAGGCTATCTGACCTGCTCTAGATCATTTTACAAAATATTTTCTGATGTTTGTTGCTCATTTCTCAGAAAATCAAATTCATTAAAAAATTTGCTATTCAAATGATACAAAACCAAACAGTATTTGTTTATCACTGACTTGAGGACCATATGGATACAAGAAGCAAACCTGCGGATAAGTTTTGATTGGTCAGTGATCATTTAAAGAAATCTGAACATTCTTCAGAACAGTCCATACTTCCTACGTAGCTTTGTCACCACTACTCCATAAGATCTCAAAGCTTGCTATTGTTCAGTTTTAGCTGATTCCTAAAGACGTTGGATTTTGGACTCCTGTTTATAAGTGCTTGTTTTCCCTTTTGATCCTTCTATTAGGCAAGACTCTTTTATGAAGACTCAGTTTCAGGATTCCTTCCAATCCTGTTGTTTCCCTGTTGTGCTGAAATACAAGTACTAGCACACCCATAAAAAAGGATCCTTTGAAGTCATATAGTGTAACTCAACTTTCTCAGTCAGGGAGATGAAGGTAGAAAATTAAAGTGATTTGGTCAAGCTATCATAAGCTAATTAGGTGAGACTATTGGCTCAAAAGCCATGCCAGTGACCCAGTGAGGCTGAGTGCAGTATTCCATCATTTAATCCATTCCCAGACAACCTTAACAACATGAAAATCAAACCCAATGTTGAAGATCTGGAGTCTCAAGAGCAAGTGCTCTTTGAAGCCTATCTTCTACAGATAATGACTTATTGTGACCTCCTTCTATGAGAAGCCTCTGAACCTTGAGAACAGAACTAGCAGCTGAATAGAGGAGCCAGTTCTGAGTTAAGAGTGGCAGTGCACTTTATTAACAAACAAAACAGATCATATAAGCAATGTCTTATTTCAATGGCAAATCACGCACATATGCATACTCTCACATGTAGCAAGGGCAAATTTCTGACATGGAACATTAGGCACCAAGTTCACAACAAAAAAATATTGTTCACAATCCTTCAATAGATTTTTTTCTCCAGTGGAGTACAAGGCCTTCTTAACAGTTAACTGTGACAAATAGATGAACTTTTAAAAATTGAATTCTTGACCTAAGTATGGAATGAGGCCAATTCAGTCAAACTCACATATGGGCAATATTCCCAGCCCCATGTCTAAGTACATCTGGATGGCATTTACTTTGATACTCAAATCTGTAGCTTAATAGGGTTGATGGAATTAGACTGAATGAATTGGTTTTCTACAAAGTGTGAGAAAAGGGTAAACTGCACCTTCAGGAGACCTTCAACATTCAATACTTCAATATGTTAACAATGTAATTATGGTTAAAACAATACTGCCAGTTCAAAAGTTTAAAGTAGTATTTCCCAAGGTGTGTCAGAGCTGAGTTAATCAGTAACTCAGCAGAAACAACTATAAGAGATTAGGGATGAGATTTGTCACTGTGGTTTGCTATAATAATAGCAAGGCAACTCCTTGCATACTAGCATATCCAACTTTTAAGTTAAATTGCTTTTGAATTGCAAGATAAAAAGTGGCAGAAAAACAGCCTTCTGCTCTTAGAATGGGCAAAACTTTGGAAGACCTTAAGTCCTCCTATCAGGGTCCAGAGATACAAGTTTGCATTTAGGATAGGGTTAATGTTGCAATAAACTTAGGTTAGCTGGTTGCCTTTCCTCTTGGAACCCTTTAATTCCTCTTCAATAAAAGTATAGTTTTACATTTTAAAAACAATTGTTATTCTGGTTGAAAATTTTAAAATATTTTAAAAAACTGGATAGTTCAAATGGACAGTATTTCAATTTTTTATCTCCTAAATAAAGAACTCAGTCTTCATAGATAAAATCCATTCAATTTTGTCTATTACAAAACTTAGAAAAAGTGAGGTTATCACATAGAGCCCAAATTTCTTTTCTGTATTTAACAGTCTCAATAAACAATAATCAGGATTTTTTCATGTGTATTTCAATACTTAAGAGAAATTGACCAGCTAATAGCTGACTATGTTAAAAACATATATAAGTTAAGAGATCGAAGTCTATGGTCATAAGAAAAAAGAAAAACAATATGATTCTATGGATCAAGGACTAACTGAAGAAATAAAGTCTGCCATCCTCAAAGTGGTTTAGAATATTCTCACTGACCAAGTCCAGTTGATGTCTAGCCACAATCCAGAAGAGAAGATACCTATTGTATTTGGTCTCACTTCCATGGGGCTGGTCAGGCAGGCCTCCTGGGAGGCAGCCCTGCTTCTATTTTACTCTGCTCATCTTGGGAGCTACCAAAAACTCATAGCAAGTCAATTTAAGCATTATAATGCCATAAACATTCTTCTCTGTAAGAAGCAAAAGAGGAAAACATACAAAGAAATGAGTGCTGCAACTATACAGAAATTCTAAGTGGTTAGGAAATTCCCATGCTGGCCTGAGGACCTGCATGTTCCTGTGCCCATGCTGCTTTCATTTACTATTACCTCATCCAAAGTGGGAGCTGGGCACCGAGGAAGCTGTAAGCCTTTGGCCTCTCTGTACCAACATATCATTAGTTCCTAAGGACAGTCACAGGCTGGGGCTCAGTCTACACCACTTATACAGAGACAAAGTCAAATGTTTTATTTCTGAAGCCATCAGATATTATGCATTACAGGTCAGAAAAACAGGACACAGAAATAGTTTTCCACAAGCACTTCAACTTTTTGAAATTAAGAACACTCACATAGGCTTAGTCTACCAATCAATACCACTTAGTCTACACAGCCAAGATTTGATCTTACTCCAGGAATTTGATCTTATTTCAAAGTTGATTCTTTGGGTTATTTTTAATGACAACTGAGATTAAACCGAGGTGGGGGAGGGCTAAATCAAGTGCACTTAAATGGCCCAATGACACAACCTGTAACTCGTCCATTTTCTTTTGAAAGTGATAATACTAAGGACGAGAAAGCAGGAAGCTGGGCAATGGAACTTCAGAATCGTGGGAACAGCTTGAGTCTGTACAATACAATCCAGATGGAAGCTACAGAGGAAAGACCAATGATCTTCAGCAGCCCAGGCACAGAAGGCAGGTATTTCTCCAAGAAGGTATGGGTGATCTCAAATGATGGAACATCCTAGACAAACGACCAAAGATCATTAGCAGAAGACTCTTGGCACTGACAAGAAGAAACAAAATCTATGAGTAATGTCATTCATGGCTATCTCCTAGATAGATGCATTTATAATGAAAACATATTAAAAAGATGAGGTTGTGATTTTTATGAACTGTAACAAGTCTATGGCACTAGATCAGCCACATTTACCTTGGATTCAGGTTCTTGAAGCCATATGTCTTTCTTGGGCACCTTTCCTACAGCATTCAAGACCTGAAAATACCATGACATTATGAAATAAGGTTGTAAAGTTTTGATAAAAAGCCATAGATAAACCTTAGGAGTTGGGATGAGGGAAATAGATAACAGTATACTGAGTCTATCAGTATCAAGAAGTAGATGGATGAATAAAGAAAATTTGGTATACACACAATGAAATATTATTTAACTTTAAAGAATGACATCCTGTTATATGCAATGCCTCAAATGACCTTGAAGAGATTATATTGTGATATAGGACTTCCCAGAAAAATAAGTAACTCATGCTATCCCACATGTAGAAGCTGAAAAAGTCGATCTCACAGAAGTGGAGAGTAGACCACAGGATACCCTGAGAAGGATAGCAGGAAGTGAGATAGTAAAAAGAATGGATAATGTCTACCAAAATTCAGTTTGATAAGAAGAACAAATTCTATGATTCTGCAGTATGGTAGGGTGACGATAGACAACAATTTACTGTCTATTTCAAAATAGCAAATAGAAAGAGGGAGAAAAATTTGAATGCAAAGAAATTATAAAGTTTTGAAATGAAGAAAATACTAGTAAGCCTGAGTTACTGTGCATTATATGAGTGTGTCAAACTATAATACAATGTACAATTATGGAAAAAACAAATACTGGAGCTCATAAGCATGTCATAAATCCATTGAAAAGCCGGGCATTGGTGGCTCATGCCTGTAATCCTAGCTGCTCAGGAGGCTGAGACCTAAGGATCATGGTTCAAAGTCAGACTGGGCAGGAAAGTCCATGAGACTCCAATAAACCACCAGAAAACCAGAAGTGGCACTATGGCTCAAGACGTAGAGCCCTAGCCTTGAGCTGAAGAGCTGAGGGACAGTGCCCAGGCCCAGAGTTGAAGCCCCACAACTGACCCAAAAAAATCCATTTAAAGAAAGATAAAAAACAGAAAGATGCAAAAAATGCTGCCGTGAGTACCTTGACTTCCTCCCTTACCTCTCTAGCTGCTCGTTCTCCAGCCTCAACTGCTCCTTCCATGTAGCCACTCCAGTGTGTGGCAGTTTCTGTGCCAGCAAAGTAAATTCTGCCTACTGGCTGTCGAATCACTCTTTAAGGGAACAAAAAGGTCACACAGAGTTATCTGGAAAGGCACTTAGCTACTTGTATCTACTCCACAAAAAACAGGGCAACTCAAATTGTATAGAAAACACCCATGAGACTCAGCCAGAGGTGAAAGGCTTCACTCCTAGATTTCTAGGCCTGTACACCAGGATCTGAACTTTCAAGCCAGAGATGACTGTCAGATCAAACACTAAAGGTGATATTGACCTTTACCAAGCTAGCCAGAGTGAGCTTGTGAAATCATGAATTTGGTCTACAATTATATATTATGATTGTGTTTCCTGTGTACAGTTGTTTCCTGAACCATCTCTCCAGGAGTATAATATTCTTTGGATAGCCACAGAACCCAGCCATGCAGGCATTCCCAGTGATTTGAAGAAGGACTAGAGTGGCAAGAGAGGTGGGGGAGACAAGGACATTAACTGTTTTTTGCTAGAAGAAGAGAGACCCAAGGAATTACATGGATGTATTTCATAATACTACAAGCTATAGTTTCTTGGAACATCGCTGGGGACTAGCTGCGAACAAAGAAATGAGCCTCCTCTTACAAATGGGTCCTAGAAAGAGAATCAAACAAAGGTTAGACTAAATGGGCAAATGTCGCCCCCAACATTCTTGGCATTGACTCCTGCTACGTTTGCAGAAACTGCCTATAATCTCTCCAAAGCTGTACACTCATCCCCAACCAAAGGCCTTCTCCTCAACCCATTAACCCTGTCTTTTCCAATTCAGGAGCACTGTATATCTTTTCTCAGCCCCAGTACCATCGTCCATATTTCTCTAGTGATTCCAGAACTAATAGAATTCACCAATGTTGTTATCCCGGAAAAAGCTATTTGATTCCATTTGTAAAAAGTAGACAAAACACTCCCAAAAGGGTTAACATAGTGAGCCTGGTTTTAGTGGTTCACACCTATAATCCTAGCTATTCAGGAGGTGGAGATCTGAGGACTGTGGTTCAAAGCCAGCTCATGGGAGACTCATTTCTAATTAACCACCAGAAAACCGGAAGTGGTGCTGTGGTTCAAAGTGGTAGAGTGCTAGCCCTAAGCAGAAATAGCTCAGGGACAGCACCCAGGCTCTGAGTTCAAGCCCCATGACCAGCAAAAAAAAAGAACAAGAAGGTTAACAAGTGTTGTTATTTTTTCCTCAGTAGACAAATACTGATTGATCTTGCATTAATTTTCAAGCTCTCTGGAAACCAAATGAAGGTATAATGTTCCCTATATGACCAGGGCATACTGTTTGCTAAAAAAATAAAAAACCACATTGGCAAACTATATCTAGGTGAGAAGGACTCACTTTCGTCTTCCTCAAGTGTAAGGTGACCTCAGACACTATGCTTATGAAGCATAGACATAATAGCTCATATGGAATAAGGGGTTTCTAAGTCAAGGTGGACTTTAAGCCCTGTGTGGACCTCACTTCAATACACTTTAACTGTATACAGTGAGAATTCCTCTCTTTGAAAGAAAATATCTGGTGCTCCGTATTGGCCAGATAGACATGTTATATAATCACATGCAACATTCTTCTACGTAGACTCATACCAAGCCACCAAAGGTCGTCTTTGTATGAGACTCCAATGCCCTTGAAGGACATTATAGATTTCTTCATCTCACAAATACTGCTCATATCAAAAGTCCTCTCATTTCTGTGTGCTAATATCCTTATTTTTCTAGAGACACCCAGAAAGATACAAATGGACTCTGTCTTTCTGGAACATCAACATAGGAATGCTGACTACTTTAAAATTCTCATTGACTATTGTCTTAAATGTGGTGCAGTGTTACTTAGTATAATACTGTGTAGTACCTGCCATACTGCGTCATGATCCCTGGGGGAAAGTAGGCTGTGTAGCAGCCTCCAGAATACTGCTCCTCACACCAGTTCTTCTCCTCGTAATGCACAGGCTGTAGTCCAGTGGGGAGAAAACAGAGTTGAAATGCTAGCAGTCAACAATGAAGGCTCCTATGCATTTTACTTTAATAAAGTATTACATTATAACACTCTGAAGATGAAACATGATGGCACCAAATAGCAAACTAACACTGATTTTTCTCAATCTCTTCACTAGGAGAGACTTGAAGACTTCTCTCCATGAGAGAGAAGAAGCAGAGGACAGTCTAAGAAAGGCCTTTTTTTAAGAATCTCTTTCCTAAGCTAGAAAAGGGTGTGATGGGAATCCTGCTAAAAAGGGGACAATTAAGATAAGAAGTGTACTTTCAGAGAATGGAGATAACCTCTGATTTCCCTAACACAAACTGAAAGTTTATTGTTTAAACAGTTCAGCAATAATCCCTGGAAAGACTCCTCTAGCTATTTGTGGGTTCTTCAACAATCTTTTGACTCTCATTGCTTTCAGTGGTGTGGTTAAAAGCACTGGTATTCCTAAATAAGTTGTAAGTTGAGTCTCTGTATGGGAAAATAAATTACTATGACTTTGGCCTGGGCAGAGTCTAGATTCTAGTTTGGCTTGTTGATATACTGCTGTGCCTTCAGCAACAGATAATGGCATATCTGAGGTTTTATTTTGCAATAAGCAGTTGGTGTGAACCAAGAGAGCAAGACCTCTGTCGGAGAACCAATCTTGCCCATCCTTGAATATTAACTGTGGCTCCAAGGATATTGCTACAATTGGCACCAGTTATCTACAGAACCGTTTAAAGAGCCCCAAGGAAATGTAACATCAGAAACCCCATGTACCTGGCAACAATTTTTTTTTAGGAAGAGTTAAACAAGTGCTTGAATTTATTTACACACACATACAAATAGAAACATTTCACAGCAAGTTAGATTAAGAGGCCAATGAGTGTGCAAGTGGGTGTTTCTTATATCCACTCTTCTATATAATCCCTAGACCTGTCTACTTGCAAGTTTTCCATAAAAGTTCATTGAAAAATTAGGGCAATATTCCTACTTAGAAAATGTTCCTACTTAGAAAAGCCATCACTGGCACCAATTTTTAATGGCCTTTTGGGATTGCTGAAGTTAATCTTCCAAGTTAAAGACATTCTTTCTACTCTCTTATGACTGTCAGGAAAACATACACTGTTTTGTTTTAACCACATTGAACAAGCAGAACAGGGAATAAAAGCTTGAAGGATTTCTTACATGTAAGGCTTCTTCAGATTCCAGAACTTTGGCATATAGTTCACAGATTTTTCTTTTCCTATAAAAATGCCAAAAAATGTTAAGGAAGTAATAACTGATAGGTACAGAATAAAGACAAGTTTTAGGATGGTTCATCATGAATAAATTCATTTAGAGAAAGGAGTACAATGAATCTCTGTGCTCGTTTTTTATGCCTCAGTATAGTCAGTTGTTTTGAAGAGATAATAGACTTTTTTGAGATAGGTTTATGTATCCTAGGATGACCTTGAACTTGATTCTGCCTCCAAATGCTGAAATTAGACATTGTACCAAGTAGAACTTTCATAATTTTTCACTATTTTGTCTGTTTACTTACCTACTATGGTATCTGTGAGAGACAGTAATGAGAAAAATAAAATGAAATTAAATTTAGTTTTAGGAACAGATTGTGTATTATTTTCTGGCGTATGAATAATTCTAGAATGATCCCATTTTTAAGTTTATAGTACAATATGATAGTGTCTTTTAAGTATCATATTTTATGTTTGAAATATCAGCAAACATAAAGCTCATTTAATCTTTTGTGATGGCACTGGGATTTAAACTCAAGGCCTGCATATGTAGGCAATTGTATTACTAGAGTTATGCCTCCAACCCCTTTTGCTTTATAAGTCTTAAGATTATTTTCCATCCATTTATCTCTAAATGTAAGGCATATTTCAAGAAATAAGGAAGCTGAGGCTCAATGAGATGAGGATTTCTTTTTTTTGTCGGTCGTGGGGCTTGAACTCTGGGCTCTTCAGCTCAAGGTGAGCGCTCTACCACTTGAGCCACAGCGCCACTTCCGGTTTTCTGGTGGTTTATTGGAGATAGGAGTCTCACGGTCTCTCCTGCCCAGGCTGGCTTTGACCCGTGATCCTCAGATCTCAGCCTCCTGAGTAGCTAGGATCACAGGCGTGAGCCACCAGCGTCCGGCGATGCTGATTTCTTTAATACTGTCGCCTAATTAATAGCAGGGCAAGGCTCTACTCTTTTGAGTATACTACCCATAGTAGGTACTCAATAAATACGCTCAGCCCAGTATGGTACCTTCTTTCCTAGGCTATATAGCAGATCCTTCTTAGTGTTAGAAGCAATTTAGAAATTTTGAGCCAATTAGAAAACAAAAATCTTGACAGTATTCTAAAAAACTTAAGGTGCTTCTGGATACATAATAAAATTATTAATGCAGAATGAATCTTAAAATAAAATCAAGCTCCATTGTGGTTAAGTTTTTAATGGTGAGTGAATCTTAAAGTCTAGTCAACCTGCATTATGGTAAATATTTTAGTGGTAAATGAAATATAAAGCTGGGTTTGGTGGTATACACCTATAAATCTAGCACTCACGAGTTAAAGGTAGGAAAATCAGGAGTTTGAAGACATTGTAAGCTATACAATGAGACTTGTCTCCAAATAAATAATTACATGCATACATGTATACATGCATACACACATAAAATGCATTCATGAATAAACGGAGGTGTTCAGTTTGGTCACAGGTACATAGTCCCAAGTTGGGTATATAGTTCAGTGGTAGAGTATTTTCTTTACTTTCACAAGCTCTTGGATTCCATTTCTAACCACACACACACACACACACACACACACACACACAGAGGAAGAGAAGTCTATTTCATATTATTAGATGAATCAAAGACAAGTTCATACAAATACATCAGAAATTATCCTTTCCTCTCCTTCTCTTTAAAATTACATTTCTGGGGAAAAGGCAAGGATGTTGGAGCAGTGCCTTTTATCAGTGCTGGGGATGGAACATAAGGCCTTGTGCATATAAAGCATGTATTCTACCACTGAATACATTCCAAGCCTGGAGCAATGTACTTATCAATTGATTTGTCTCTAAAATCAATAGACTGTATCTTAAATAATGGCCCAAAGGGGTCATCATGCAAATTTTCTTGTAGTTGAATTTTTCTACTGGTGTCCAAATCTGGCTGCTCATCATAAGTCACCTGAAAAACTTGTTAAAAATACAAATACTCGATTACACCTTGAACCAACTGAATCCCAATCTCCATGGCCCCTGAAAATTTATTTTCCAAGCATCCTTTGGGAAATTTTGATGGAGTCAGTCCTGGGAAACACTACTCTCATCAATGATATATTCAGCAAGTGTTTTGTTTTACAAAAACTTCAGAGAAGTTGAGAGTGTGTGGAATCATAACCAAATGCCTTCCTTCAGGCTGGTATTTATTTTATTATTGATGAAAAATCAAAAGTAAAGTCAAGTTTAGTGTACTGTAATGAAAAAAATGTGTTATTTGCTACTGTTGACTTTGTCACAAGTTAATAGCTATAGTTTGAGGTATGTGTCCTTCCAAAATTTGCATGCTGGAACTTATCCTCCAGGGCAATGGTATTAAAAAGTAGTACCTTTAGGGAAGTGACTAAATCATGAGGGCTCTATTGAGATTTTTTTTATTCTGTGATTATTCTTTCCATTCACCTAACAAGAAAATACCACCTCTCAAAAACTGCAACATGAACCCAAATAAGTATAACTAAATTAAAAAAACATGAGCAAGGGGTACGTCAGGGGGTCCATAGCAAAATATTGAGGCTGAGAATATCTATGAAGTCTTGTGCTTTTCCTGATGTTATTCTAATACTAGTGTAACAAATAGGATGTAAAGCTAAACTTTTATCAATTTTTGGATATTAATTCTTTACCTTATTTCTTTGTGGAGCTTGGTAAGTCGCTCAGCTTTCCGGGCAAGTATGAAGCTGTAGAAAGAGGGTACATCTGAATAATCAGTCATTTCTCTTAAGAAATTAATGTAACTCTCCCAGGCCCTCCCCCTCAACTAAAGCAAATGTCACTCTGTCTTCAAGCTTCCTCTGTGTCCAAAACCCTGCTAGGCTGTCAGCTCCTAAATGTCAAGTCATGCTCTATTTGATAGTTTACTCCCAAAGTTTAACACAGCATTTGGCCTTCAGTAGGAAATCAAATGTAGATTCATTAATGTTGCACTTAGATCATTATTCCAGTAATGACTATGTCTTCTGCCAAATACTTGATAAAAAGCTGGCAAATATTCACATGTATCTTAGTGGATGCCACAGTGGTTCCCTACATTCCCTCTTCAGAGCCAGTAATTAGTGGCCTGAGGTTCACAGCTGAAACATTCCCCAGCAATTATACTCAGCAGCAGAGATGCAATGGTCTAGGTCTCTCTCTTCCTTAGAGGCAATTGGCAGCCAGTAACCAGCTCTAGGGTGAGATAGGTACCATAGAGCTCAGTTCAGGACAATTCAGGCCATTCCAGCTTCAAATATTCCCATGGGATGGCAGAAATCCTTGGTTGGGACAGCACTAAAGTCCAGTTTATTTTATCTGATCCTGATTCCTTCCTTTCCCCTGCAGGCAGTAAATCCCTACAGCACTTCCCCATAGCCACCCAAGATCTTCATCTTCAAGCCACTTCTTGGGAAACCAACCAAATAGTCCCCAAATAGAGTAACTCAGTTATTATCTGTCTGCTCCAGTTTAGCCAAATGGATTCTGTTGAGTATGCCAACATTGCTAATTATACACATATATTTTATTTTATTTTATTTTTGGGGGGTCCAGTTGTGGGGCCTGAACTCTGGGCCTGGGCACTGTCCCTCAGCTCTTCAGCTCAAGGCTAGTGCTCTACCACTTGAGCCACAGTGCCACTTCCGGCTTTTTTCTTTTGCTTATATGGTGCTGAGGCATCGAACCCAGGGCCTCAGGCTTGCAAGGCAAGCGCTCTACCACTGAGCCAACTTCCCAGCCCTACACATATATTTTAAAGAATTGATAATAACATGAAATCCTCACACTATCATTAAAACCTTTCAAAAATCCAAATGAGAACTCAAGATGCCTCTCAGAGGAAAAGCACTTGATTAGTCTGCAAAGGCCTTGGGTTAAGCCTCAACTTCCTCATCCCACAAAAAACTAAATAAGATAAAGGACAATGAAATTATTTGTCAAGCTTAAAATAACTTTAAAATTGTACTTTTTGGTGGTACTCAGGACTGAACTTAGGGTAAGCAGTCTAACATTTGAGCCATCCTCTAACCCCAAATAGGTTTTCATGCTCTTTGCACTGACTTGCCTCAGACTGTAATCCTCCTACTCACATATCTGGTATTACACGTATGGACAATTGCACAATGAAAAAATGTATTTTTTCTCTAGACCACAAAGATAAGTACATGAGAGCTGAAAAGAGGTATTTCCTCCCTATCCCACCCCGTAATTTAAACTGCTCCTCAAGAAAGGTTGGACAAATGGGATTGCATAAAGTTGCAGAGCTTCTGCAGGGCAAATAATATAGCTAGCAAGATCAACAGAAAGCCCACGGATTGGGAGAAGATCTTTACTAGCCATACAACGGACAAGGGTCTCATATCTAAAATATACTTGGAACTCAAAAAATTAAACCCCCCAACAACAAATCCTCAAAGAAACAACTGCCCAATAAATAAGTGGGTGAAAGACTTAAAGAGAAACTTCTCTCAAGAAGAAAGAAGGAAGGCCAATAGACACATGAAGAAATGTTCAACATCCCTAGCCATAAAAGAAATGCAAATCAAAACAACATAGAGATATCACCTCACTCCAGTTAGAACGGCAAAAATCAAGAACTCTAACAACAACAGATGCTGGAGGGGATGTGGACAGAAAGGAACCTTACTTCATTGTTGGTGGGAATGTAAACTTGTTCAACCACTTTGGAAAGCAGTATGGAGGTTCCTCAGCAATCCCACTTTTGGGCATTTACCCAAATATTTACAAACAAGACCACACTAAAGCTACCAGCACAACTATGTTTACTGTAGCATTATTTACCATAGCTAAGATATGGAACCAACCCAGATGCCCCTCAGTAGATGAATGGATCAAGAAAATGTGGTATATATACACAATGGAATTCTATGCCTCCATCAGAAAGAATGACATTGCCCCATTTGTTAGGAAATGGAAAAACTTGGAAAAAATTATATTAAGTGAAGTAAGCCAGGCCCAAAGAAACATAGGTCCCATGGTTTCCCTTATTTGCAATATCTAGTATATGTATGAGTCAAGCGCAAAAGGTCAGATAATGTGATGTCAGGAAAATGAACCCTTAGATATGTCTTTTAATGTTTTTTCTTTCATGCATGTGTTTCTAACGCATTTATAAGACTATCTCTTTGTTGCTTTGTATGTCCCCCCCGCACAGTATAACCCCTGCTTTCTCTATATTTGATGACAGTATAACTTGTGGAGGAGATGGGGAAAAACAAGTCGTTTAAGGATACAGGTGGGCCTGTTGCAACAATGAGAAGTACAAGTTGCCATGTCCAAAACGAGCTTTACAATGTCGGTCGGGGGGGAAGGGGTGGGAAGGAGAAGGATTGGGATTGGGGGGAGGGGGGAGGCTGGGAAGGGATGTGAAGGCTAAACAAAGGAGGAGGCTGCAATTCTTGGTAAGAAATGTACGCACTATCCCGCCCATGTAATTGTAACCCCTCTGTACAGTATGTTCACAAATAAAACAAAATAAAATTAAAAAAAAAGAAAATGTAGACACACTGAACCCACTCCCAGGATTTAAGATTAAAAATATCCATACGTTCAGCAAAAAAAAAAAAAAAAAAAACTGCTCCTCATTTTGATTGGCAACTCCTTTAAAGATTATTATTAGAGACCCTTCTGAGAAAACCAAACATGCTGGCTTTATGTTGGAGGCATTTCACAGTTTTAAAGACAAGGTCCTTTTCCGTGTCCAAAAGGTGATGGTTATCATAAATATAGGACTGGACAAGTATCACCTTTGTCTTTGAGGCTTCTTGGCCAAATGCAAAGAGCAAAGTAGAAGTAAAATATTTTCAAGGGTTTCATTATCAAGAACAAAGTGCAGTGTGGAGACAATTGCCTGATAAAATGAGAGAAACTGACTGGGCACCAGGTGGTTCATGTCTGTAATCCTGAGCCAGCCCAGGGAGAAAAGTCCATGAGACTCTTATCTCCAGTAAACTATTCAGAAAACACTGGAAGTGGTGCAGTGACTCAAATGGTAGAGCACTAGCCTTGAGCTCAGAGATAGCTCCAGGACCAGCCAAAAAATAAAGGAGAAGCTAGTTAACAGATATGAATAAGAAAATAAAATTTCTCCTCAATCCTCATATTTATAGTTAAGACAGACATATAAGAAAATACATATTAAGAAAACAAGTAAGCTTATTATCACATGCAGTACACATCTTTGGAAGACACCTTGGTGAAAAGTAACTCAAGGTAGGGGTTTAGGACTCTGGCTTATATTGTCTATCTAATACAGAACAATGCAGTTCAGAGGCAAAGGAATGAGTTTTAGGCTTCTATAGGTGGGAAACTGTGGAAAGGAGCTATACAGGAAGACATTAGTGCAGTGAAGTTGTATTGTAGAGATCTGGAATATGATCTGATAAAGAGTTGTTTCCAATAAAGAAAATTGGCCTCCTGTCTTTAAGTGTAAGGGTTAGGGAATAGAAAAAAGGCCTTTTGTTTTTATAAATCTGTATTCTGCTTTCAGGCAATCAGAGAAGGCAAGAGAGTGCTCTTGCATCTTAACTGACTTCAACTCAATGATTCTTTCTCTTTTGGAGAGACACTGTATGCTCTTCTCACATGCAAAGTTTCCATTAGATTTCAAGACTAAATGCTGGTGATGTAGTGTGAAGCAGGGTGACAATTTTATATATATATTTTCTGGGGCTTGAACTAAGAGTGAATGCTGTCCCTCAGCTCTTCAGCCCAAGGCAAGCACTCTACCACTTGAACCACTGCGCTCCTTCCGGTTTTTGGTGGTTAATTGGAGATAAAGAGTCTCCTGGACTTTCCTGCCTGGGCTGGCTTTGAACCATGATCCTCAGATCTCAGCCTCCTGAGTAGCTAGGATTACAGGCGTGAGCCACCGGTGTCCAGCCTATATTTTTAAATCACTAAAAGAAACCAAGCACCCGTGGCTCACATCTGAAACCTAGTTACTCAGAGTCCTGAGATCACAGGATTGAGGTTTAAACCCAGTGTAGGCATAAAAGTCTACAAGATTCATCTCTAATTAACCAGCAAAAAGCTGGTTAATTAGATAGAACACCAGGGATAGAACACCAACCTTGAGTGAAGAAGCCAAGTGAGAATGCACGTGCCTGAGTTCAAACCACAGTACCCATACACAAAATAGAAAAAAAAAGATTTTAAATGTTCTTGCCACAAAATTAGTAACTATTTGAAATGAATATGTTAGTGATTTTGATTTTATCATTCCACAATGTAGATATATTGAAATATCATATAAAACTGCACAATTTCTACAATTAATTTTTGTGAATTAAAAAAAAAACTAACAAACAAAACAGATTAGAATAATACTCAGAAGGAAAATACCCTTACTATCTGGCAGGACCCTGTCACAAATTCCCCATTATAAAGCCAAAGCAACCATAGAAGACCATGTGTCATTGTAACTCCTAGAGTAAGAACATCAATGTTCTTCCACCTATAAAGTAAACTGGGTTTCATAGGTATTCTCGTGAATCCTGGTTTTCTGTGGCCAACAGAAGAGGAGTGTCAAGCTTGTCCAATGGGATTATAGGAGACTGTTCTTTCCCATGGTCATTACACTGTAAGCACCTATACTTATCAGGAAGTCTAGTGCTTTCTAAGCCCTTTGGGACATGGGTCTGCTCCTTCACTTTTGTCAACTTCTTAAAATGACAAGATGAATACAAGCTTACTTTCCCTTCAGGCACGAAGCATGCACTTCTCAGGGAACAAAAGGGAAACCATTGGACCCTAAAAATCACTTGACAGCTATTGAAGCTGTGCTGTATTTTTATTGGGTGGTAGAACAGGATACTTTTTAAGCAAAGGATAGGCAGCTAGGAGGCTGTGGCCTTCCTCAGCATTTCCTTTTGGAGGTCCTTTCTTCTGGGTCCCTAGTCCCCAGTAGGCAGGGGTACATAAGGGGAAAGCTTCCCCTCTCTTCTAATCCCCACACACAGATATTCTCTTCTGTACATAGAACCATACCCTGCACTGCCTGTGTACTCTTCTCATTCAGAATGACTGACAAGAAAAAGAACCATGTCCTAAATTCTAGGCTGGCTCAACATTGAACTGTGTCTCCTAGTTGTCAGCCATCTTATATCTCAGGGTAACACTTACATATATATATTTGTCAGTCGTGGGTCTTGAACTCTGAGCCTGGGCGCTGTAACTGAGTTCATCAGCTCAAGGCCAGTGCTCTACCAGTTGAGACACAGCTCCACTTTGAGTTTTCAGGTGGTTAATTGGAGATAAGAGTCTCACAGACTTTCCTGTCCAGGCTGGCTTTGAACCATGATCCTCAGATCTCAGTCTCCTGAGTAGCTAGGATTACAGGTACAAGCTACCGGCACCTGGCAAACACTTTATATTTAATGTTTAGCAAGTGTTTGGAATGGATAAAACAAGAAAGCCGGTAACCCGATATGTGAGAGGTTTTATATGACAAAATAGTTCCTTTTTCAAAATGCTCATAGACATTCTACCTATAGGCAAGGCTAATTACCATACTTCTTATCTAGTTGCATTTTCTATCGAATACTCAACATGTATAAGGTGGTTGTTGCTGCTTTTGAGAAGGAAATTTGAAATCTACCACTTGAGCCATGCTCCGGCGCTTTTTGCTTTTGTTATTTTTCAGATAAAGTATCATGCTTTTTTTGCCCCAGCTGTCCTCAGATCATGATCCTCCTACCTATGCTTCTTATGTTGCTCTGCTAGTTGCTCTGCTCGGAATGCAGGTGTGAACTACCCATCTGGCTTATTCTTTGAGATTTGGGTCTCAATAACTTTTTTTTTAAAGGGGCAGTGCCTAGTTTCAAACTGCAACACTTCTATCACTGCCTCTCAAACTGCAATTCTTCTACAATTGCCTCTCAAACTGCAATCCTCCTATCTCTGACTCTCAAATGGCTAGGGTTATAGGTGTGAACCATCATGTTTGGCTCTTAAAATCTTTTATAGAATAAATAAGTATCTGGGCAAAAGTTCAAAATGGTATCAATTTTAGTAGTCCTACACATTACTATAAATGTATTAATTTATGGAAACATGAGAATAATTTTGCATGATTATTTATCATTGCTTGAGATCAATCTCAAAACAATATACTTTGCCAGTATCTACATCCACACAATTTAGAAAATATAGAACATCCAGTTTTAATTTACCCCATGATGGCAGGCAGCGATCCATCTGGCTTGGTGTCATCCAGGGTGATTGAAATAGGAGCTTCTTCATCTTCAATGATCATGCAGCCACAATAATCTTAACCGGGAGAAAATCAACAGGGAATTGAAATCATCATTAGAGGCTCATGTACATATAAAATGTTTATACACCATTTTAGTAAGAGAAAGGCAAATCTTATACTACTTATCTTTACCCTCTCTAGAAGCCATTCCCTATCAAATACATACACTAAATATACAAATATGAATTCCTCCATGCATCTGGAAAATTCTACTACCTTTATGTAAAGGATTTCTGAATAATACATAGCAAAAAGGTAAGATGGCTCTGGATACTAGGATAGATGGCAGAAAAGAAGTGATGTCTTGGAAAAAAAATCACCTCTATAAATCCTAAAAAAAAAGTTGTGAAAAGGAATCCTGTTGATTGTGAGCACAAACTTCTTAATAGCAGCCACATTATCTAGAGAGCACACTAAGTTCCAGACCTTGCCTCATTTAATTTCCCCAACACTGTGATAGTAGGTATTACTGAAGTTTAGACTGATGATATTAAGCCAGAAACAGCTATTTGACTTGAAAGCAGTACTTCTGACAAAGAGTAACTGGAACCCCACAAATAAAGTTATCATTGCAGGCCTTCCTTTCCCTTTCCTCTTGTCATTACTCTTTGGGTCATAGGGGGCAGAGGCTATGAAGAAATTAACCAGTTCCTGATCCTTTCTCTACCTATGTGAAAACAGTATGTTTCCAGATCAGTATTCCTAAAAGAATGTGGCTCCTTCATTTAATATAAGTTAAACACAAGTAAGAGAACTTACCCTTTTTCTTCCAGAAAGCTTCCCTGTAATACATCATGCACTTAATGATAGCCCCCATTGGCAGACGCTGAATTAATTGATTTCTCTCTGATGGAAGCTCTGGTTTGAAGTGGATCTTGGCAGTCAAGGTCGGAGGGATGGCACTAATTATGTATTTGCACTAAAACACACATATGCAAAATCTCATTTCAAACATGAGCTACAGTCTTTGCAGAGGCTATAAAAACCTTGTCTTCATTATTGTGAATAACAGAGTAGTAACAACATGCAAAATGAGGCAACAAAAGAGAGCAAAGTAGGTCAACCAAGGCTGTTAATTTAAAAGACTAAGCATAATCAGACTTGTGTTTGGATTATATTTGGTTTCAAGCTACAGAAGGCACAAAATCTATTTACTACTAAGTTCCTTTTGACTAAAAGAAGTTACCTCATAAACTTCATGATTCAGTGTCTCTACAATGATGTTTTCCCCTGAATGGTCAATATAGGTAACAGGACGGCTCAGCTTCACTCGGTCCCCAAGGAGGTCCATTATCCGCTCACTCACCTGGCCTGATCCACCTACAAACTTCCGTTCCTACAGGAAGTAGGCAGGAAAGGAAAGTTATAAAGGCCAGAAGAAGCAATAAGAAGAGTGGAATATTTGTCACTGATTAGGAAACCTTCAGAAAAATCATACCCAGACCTCAATGTCAGCACACTTAACTGTTGGGAAAAATTATCAAGATAGAAGCAGAGTTAACCAAGGAATCTCAGTTACCATCCTCTGCACAGCTTCTAATAGGGAAAAGCCATTATTTTTTTGTAAAAAAATTACAGACAAGAAAAAATGCCCTATGTCAGTACTGATCAGACCAAATTGAAATAGGAAGTCTATGAACTTCAGATGCCCAACAGGGTAGGTAGGAAGTGGGGGAGATGTGTTTTCCTAAGCACTGTAACTTCTAACTCCTCTTGGCTCCTTAAAGTTCCATCCTGGGCAACTTAAAGAGACCAGGCTGATAGTGATATTAGGACTAGTCATGCCCTACCAGTCATTACCAAATGAGGTCTTAGGGATCTGAATCTATTGAATAACGTTTTGCAAAAAAAAAAAAGTCTGGAATTATAGTGGAGGCTAAATGCCTATTTGCTCCTTCAGAAGTTATAATAACTCCCTGAACAACTCATCAGACCATGAGTGCTCTGCCCATTGCAATCTGCTAGTTCTGCTACACTTACTATGGAAATAGCTCTGGCTTAGTCTAAAAAGGCAAGTCCTTAACACAAAACATTTAAGAAACCAGAGAATACTGTTTTGGTAAAATATTCATTAAATGGATAGAAATCCATGTTGGCAAACTGAGGCATAGGCCGCCACTGACAGTATGTCAATCATTACAAGCAGCAATTTTTGCACTTTTATAACTACAACTAGTTACCGACATCACCAAAGTTCTTTATAAAAGAAGTTTCCACAGTTGTTCAGACCTAAGTTATAATTTTTCATTTCTCAAAAAATTGGTACAATTCAGTTTATAGTTTAACTTAGCTTATTCAGGAACTGCTCTGAACTTTTGTTTAGTGGAAAGATCACAAATAAATTCCATCTTATTCACAATTTACCCTTTCGTGTTTAGTATTTGGTAAGTTAAATTGTAAAAGAGTAAAATTTATCCTTCATTTTTTAAAAATTCAAACATTTTTTGGCTACAAGCTTCTTTTCAAGAATGAAAAGAAGAAATGAGCCGGGCGCTGGTGGCTCACACCTGTAATCCTAGCTACTCAGGAGGCTGAGATCTGAGGATCACGGGTCAAAGCCAACCCGGGCAGGAGAGACCTTGAGACTCCTATCTCCAATAAACCACCAGAAAACCGGAAGTGGCGCTGTAGCTCAAGTGGTAGAGCGCTCGCCTTGAGCTGAAGAGCTGAGGGACAGCGCCCAGGCCCAGAGTTCAAGCCCCACGACCGACAAAAAAAAAAAAAAAAGAAAGAAAAGAAGAAATGAGAACTTTTCTGCAGACATGACTTTTGAGATACTTTATGTTGCTAATTATTCATGACTGGAACTACTGAAGCAGTTACAAGGACATTGCTCTGGGTAAGGGCAAAGTCACAAAGTTGCAGTTTCAGAACAGCCACACCATACCTGGCCTCCGTTAGAGACTGAGAATATCCTAGTGGTACCACCGCACTGTTTCACATACCACAAGAACCACAGAGCAGAAACCTCATGGGGCTCAGAGGTGACATTGATGTTCACAAAAAGAGTAGCAAACTCCCTAGCAGTCCTATTCACAGAACAAGAATCGAAGTTAGGCATCAATAATATAAGCACAGAGAAGCACATGTTTTCATAATGCAATATTTCACAATTAGAAAGTACTTCTGTTGGGGCTGGAGAGGTAGCTCAGGTGGTAGAGTACTAGCCAATGAGCAAAAAGTGTCAGATCAAGAGTTCAAATCCTGGTCTCAGATTTAAAAAAAAGGAGTATTTTTTCGAAACAAAAAAAGTCTTATGAACTCAATTTCTAAAGAAACACATTTGTTCATTCTTGAGGAAAGTAAATGATGTGGGGAGATGGTAACTTCTAGAAAATGGGGATGGATTACAACCAAAAAAAAAGCTGATGGTATGGATGAATAACATCTTCCAGGAGTAGTCTTAATGGGCTATTAGGGGTGGCATGGTAGAAAATGCCAACAAATTGCTAATTGCCAATTATGGATTACTTCCAATATGCTAATCTTATTTCAGTCTAATATGCCAATATGCTTCTCAGTGGTCATTGGGGTTATTTTTTCCAATCTATTTTAAAGATCTACACCTCTTCAGTTCTTTGCTTCTACCCTGGTCTAGGATATTGGACCAGCTTCTACCTGGTTGTACTATCCCCTCTTATATACTATAGCAAATGACTTTTGAGTTCAAAGCTGAACAAAACCTTCTGCTTGGCTGGGCAGAGTATCTCAACTTTATAATACCAGTGACTCAGGAGGCAGACATTGGGATAGAGGTTTCAAGGTCTGTGCAGGGAAAAAGTTAGTGAAACCCCATCCAACCATAAGCCAGATGTGGTGGTCATGTCTGTAATCTCAGCTACATAGGAGGATGGAGACAATTGTATTTCCAGACCAACATGGGCAAAAAGTTAGTGTAACCCCCGCCCCCCTTTTCTCAATCAATAAGCCATGGTGGCATGTGCCTGTGATCCTAGCTACATGGGAGGCTATGAAAGACTTGTATAACAAAAACCCTTCAATGGCCTAAAATGGAAAGTTCAAATCTTAAATATAGCCTCAAGCAGTGCTCCAACCTCCCTTTATACCACATATTCTTCTCATCTCTATGGTCCAGGTACACTGACTATTCAGTTGCTAACATCTGTCAATTTTCTTCCCATCATAGGTGTTCACAAAATGTGTTTCTCCTTTTGACTTTCTAGGCAGATACCAGCCCCTCACATCATCTTTACATCTCCTTCCTCCCCTCCGATCATGTGGGTCATTCCTAGAGGGTTCCATCCCTTTCATAATATCTACCTTTTCCTTTCCCCTACTCTGCTCAGTGGATCATTCCTGAAAGATACCAGTACCCACTATTATCCACCCAACCTGTTTCTACTTGCTCCTCCAGTCATTCCTGGAAGATACCATGTCTCCCTCTGTCCCTGTGGACCAATCCTGGAATATATCATTCTGCCCCAGCACATACTAGTAAATACAGAAAGGGTATATCAGGATGCTATTTTCCAGAAATGATCCACAGCTCAGGAGAGGCTGGAGGGTGTTTAGTCAAACATAGTGTCTTCTGAGAATGCACCATAGAGCTAGGAGGAGAGGGATAGTGGTAAATGGATTTTTTTATGGGAAGGACCCACAGGTGAAGGGGAAAACAGGATGTTCAGATGGTTTGGAAATAGGTATTTTCCAGGAATGACAGATAGGGGCTGAGGGCAGACAGTGAAAGTAGAACAATTATAGGGGCTGTATAAGAAAATCAGGTAGGGTCACTGACTCTATGAGTCATTCAGGAAAGACAGTATCTTGTCTTGTTCCAGTAGCTCAACTAGGAAGACCTGCCCTGTCCCCATTATTTAATGCACTCATCACATCTGTGCTTCTCTTTCTTCCCTTCAGCAGAGCTCCTTCTTGAGCCTGTCCACTCTCCTACAAGGACTTTTGATTTTCTTTGTCTTGTATTAATAAAATCCATTCCTGCTTTAAAAAAGATTATATTGCCTAGTCTTGTAGTGGCCCTCTTAGTTAATAATAATAATCCTGTCATTAAGTCATAAAGTCATGACTATATTAATAAACTCTAAGTTACTAAACTAGTCACATAGATCCTAACTGAACTATTATAGGTTATATTTTTCATTCATACAGATTACCTTCCCTCCACTTTTCTATCATTCTATATCAATATGGAATTGCTTTTTAAATTTTTGCTAACTGCTTTTGTAGCCAATCTCTATATAATATAGTCGTAATTATGCTTACATTATATAGTGATCAAACAACCCTTTCATTAAAAGATGTTCTATTCCATGTACCTATTTTCTTAAGTTTTTCACTTATTGTCTGCTTAAACCTGTTCTAAAATATTGAAAGTACCTTCAAAGTTTCTATGGACAGAAAGATTTCCTCTTTACTTTTTTCTAAAAATTATTAAGAAAAGCATCATAGCTCAAGACAGGAAAAGGATCAGGAGGAGAGTTAAAAAGTAGATTTTAAATAGTAAAGCATACTTTGTCCAGCAGATCTTATCAAAGAGATCTTTCATAGTCATCTTGTCCCATTCTTCAGCATGAGGGGCATCCCATGGTGCATCGGCTGGGATCTACAAGGAAAGGAAGTCCCATGGTCCCACTTTCAGGCATGAAGGTAATTGTCACTACTGCCAGATCCCTCTGAAAGCCCTAAATGAGAACCTCTGAAAATTGTTTTTTAGTCTCTTGTGCAATGTATGTTGGCTTGAAATTATATGTAGATGTGGGGTGCTCTTTGTATTCCATGTTCTAATGCTATTGCCAAAACAGTATTATCACAAGTACACTTAAAAGCACTATAAATTTAATATGTAATGCAATTAGCATGATAATGATGCTTAAAAGCTAATGCCCATTTTAAGTCCCCAATTCAAGTTTGAGAATGTGATATTACAGAGCCTAAGTGTAAGTAAACAAGCTTTGGGGCAGAAAAAAAATCCTTCACTAGTAGTATTATGGATGGATAACTATTAAGTAGAGATACCTGGCAAAAGATGTCACAAAAATGCTCAATGACAAAGAACTGAAGACACATAAACATTAGTATCAGCAAGAGTGGGTTAGAATGCTGGTGTCTTGCTGTGTAGTCTTGGATAAATTATATAACCTCTTGGTACTCATTTCCTCCAGTTGTTGAGTGGAAATCATACCAGCTTTGCAGTTGTTGGGTGCACTGGAAATGACATACATAAAAAGGGTCTGGAGCAATGTTTCTAGCACCTTGGATGGATGGTAAACAGTTGCCACTGCTGTTTCAGTAATAGACTGCACAAACTGAACACACATTTTACCTCCTTTCCCATTTTATCCATTGTCCGCCACAGATTGTTGTAATCCAGGTATGTAATGGGATTCCACACAGGTGGAAATGCTCCCCGAAAAGGATAAGATTTCCCCTGGAACATACAAGCAAAGAAAACCAATTACAAAGGACAATCTTTTAAGTAAGCATAACATTCTAAACCACAACAATCAACCAACCTAAGCCATTTTCAAAGGAATAGGATCCTCACTGGGTCAGAAGCATTCACTTTATTGGAAAGCATATACATTCTACCTAAACAGGCCCAACTTTAATAGGATTAATAAGTTTCCTGAGTGTTGTATAAATTTGTTTTAATTTATAGGAAATCATGGCTTTTTGATTCATTTCTAGCTATTTGAACAAATAAGGTAATTCATTCTAGCTTCTAAAATCTGAGGCCACAAAATTCCTGAGTTCTTATCTCTTTGGAAGAATGATCCTACTCAGATGAGAACAAACTGAGGACGTGAAGGACTGTCTTTAGACCACATATAGGACAGGAAGCAAAGGAGAACATTTCAAATAATGTTTTAAGGTTTATACAAGCTAAATAAAGACTGGCAAGACTGCAGACTATATCTGATGACAAGAATCAAAATATTAGCAGTATGGAACAATGAGAATATGTAAATTTGGCCTGTCTAGTATCCACTCTTCTTTCTGAACAGTATTTTGGTTTCCTTTTGGGAAATTGTCTCTGCTCCTCTGTGTACAGCTATGTAGGGAAGATGGTTCTGTGTACCAGTGGCCATTACAAAAGTGATGATGGTTAGATTCTTCTCCCTCCAGCCTACCTCAGTGATACAGTTCAGCTTCGGGCATGTGAGCTGACCTAGACTCAGAGGACTTTAACCCTAGAGGCTTTTGCCCAAGGATAGAAGAAAGCAGAATATAATTTCTCTTTTCTCAGGACAGCATGATAAGCAGATGCTAAGCTGCTATACAGACCATGACTATGGCTTCTGCCTCTAACTTTCCAGAGCTCCTCTGCTCTCTGCAGATTCTAACATGTAGACCTATAGTCTTGTGTTGATTCTGTGACCCCGCTCATTTCCTTTGAGTAATTTCCCTCTGGTTTGGTACTAATGTCTCCAACATGAGGATGGCTTACCAACACATTTAAATTTCCCATTCATTGTGTAATATACATTATGCTAAGCAAAAGCAAGGGTGAATCTTTAGAGAAAGCCACCAGGAGTAGGTAGTCTCTGAGGCCTTATTTGCACATTCAATTAATTTTATAGTCAGCCTTCCATATCCTCAGGTTCTGTATCCATAGTTCTGATTATGGAAAATATTTAAGTGCTATCTGTTATGAACATGTACACACTTTTGTCTCACCATTATTTGTTAAATGCTACAGTATAACAATTATTTTCATAGCATTTACATTATACTAGATACTAGAAACAGTCTAGAGAATATTTAAAGTATATGGAAGGATATGCATAGGTTATATAAAAATACTATGACATATTGTAAGCCTCCTTGGATCTTGGTTTCCATAGGGGTTCCTGAAACCAATCCCTAAATATACTAAGGGACAAATACACTTTAAAAATAACTGCCTTCTTCCCAAAATACAACCTCTCATGTAAATATACACAGGGACATATGCATTTTATATACAATTAAATTGACTAGGGTAGAGTATATGCAAAAGTGAAATTCCATGGAGTAAGTTCTTTGAACAATTAACAGACAGTTTAACAAAATGAATGCCAGGAGGCTAGGACATAGTTTGAATGGGAAGGGGCATTGGGCATAGTGATGAATGGTAGAGGGAAAGGTGGACATATATAGTCATAGTATTCACTATACATATGTGATAAAATAAGTGGGAAATATGAGTCCTGGGGGGAGGGGGAAAAGGATAGAAAGGATGAGGAAGGATGATAGAAGGGGTGACTGATCAAGAATCACTGGATCCATAAATGGATATGCTAAATTGTAATATCCTTGTGTAAACATGTGAAGATTAAAAAATAATAGCTGTCTTCTTGCTGGACATGTTGGCTCATGCTGGTAATCCCAGCTACTCAAGAAAAGCAGAGATTAGGAGAATTATGGCTTAAGGCCAACTTGGACAAAAAAGTTAGTGAGAGCTTATCTTAACAAAAACTAGGTTTGTCATCCTAGTTGTGTGGGAAACATACATAGGAGGATCACAGTCCAGGCTGCTCAAGTAAAAAGGTGAAACCCTAACCCCAAATTAACTAAAGTAAAAAGGACTGAGGATATGTCTCTAGTGGGAGAATGTCTGCTTAGCAAAGCACAAGTTCAATAATCAGTACTGCTAAAATAAAAATAAACACATCTCAATATTCATAAAGTCCAAATCTTTTCTACTAGTACAATTTTGCATGAGAAAATTTTAATTGAGTAAATATTTGTAGAAAGTTGCCTGCATGTACTATACAATATTGGAAGTTATATTAAACATTTTTCAGAAAGGTTAAAAAAAAAACCCTTCTGACCATCAAAGCAGGTTCACAAGACATAACAGCATACCCATACCTTGCAACTGAGTAAGAATATATGGCATTAAATAACAAAGAAGTAAACTGCCTTTCCATATAGCAAATTTGAATAGCCTTGGTAGATAACATGGTCTAATTTCTTATCTGAAAATGCTATGCTGAAATGCCACAGTACAACATTTTAAGACTCCAAATCCTTTATCACCATCACCACCATCATCACTAACATTTATTGAGCTCTTTCTCCATGCCTGGCATTGGCTAAAGCTCTTCATATGCGTTATGTCATATAATGTTCTCCCCAGCTCTGTGAAGGCAAGCACTATTAATATTTCCATTTTATAAATGAAAACACTAAAGCCCAGCGACAGTAGCTAATAAACAGTAGAGCAGAAATTTCCTGTTCTCAGAGTCTTTGCTCATAAGATATATTTTCTTGCCTCCTACATGTGTGATAGAATGTGGAGATAGGTTTGTTTCGACAACATTTTAAACTTCTCAACTAAAAGAAAGTGCTCTAAAATGTGAAACTTATAAATCTTCCACATGTATCTTTTCTGTTTCTAAACATTAAGAATAGAGAGTAAGAATCCCCAGGTTATAGAAAGACTACTGAGGAAACATGACCATCTTTGGAAAATGCTAATGTGTTCTGAGAGAAAAGGGCAGAGACATTTTACACTGAGCACAAAAATAGCTACAGAGAAGAGAGAAGCTGGAGTTAATAGCTTGGACAGCCTTCAGAACAGCTGGTTCTTTTTATAATTCATCCCAATTGAAAGCTAGGAGAAAAATGTATTTTCCTGTTCAAAAGTATATTTATACCTAATAGCTTCAAATAAAACTGATCTAATTTGAAAAAGAATATTGTATTAAAACAATTTAAGTACTTTTAATCATCTGGAGATGTTAATTATTATAAATATAACTTGACAAAATGTGTTCCATATTTCTAAGTTCTTTATACAATGATGCCAACTTGAGTGTGCTTATACAAGATCCTAGAGGCCTAGTGATTGAACTTTCATAAATACACAAGGGAGCCAGGAGAACTGAAAGGTTCAAGGAGAGAGAAGAATCTGACCTGGAAATTTCCTTAGGTATAGAAACCATGAAATATTCTTTAAAAAGATCATAAAGGCCATTCATAGCAAAAACTTTTATCCTGTTGGCAAAGGCACCAAGTAAATAGAAGATTTCATTAATTAGTTTTATCTTGATCAGTTTCTGCCTTCTCTGTCCTTATCTCAAGGAAAATCTAACCCTGCTAGAGAAATGTGGGTAAATGTCAACTACAGGACACCCCTTCCTTTCTAACAAATATGTAACATGGATTTATTTTCTCTATGGCCCACTTCTCCAGACTGCTTTTGCAAATAAGATGGTAGGAGACCCTAGGGAGGTCTCTCAGCTGAAAGAGAAGTGCCTGAGATTAAGAATTTTAGTTTACTAAATGGGATTGTATACCTTCTCACCAAGAAGTTAACAATTTCTCTATCCTAAACCACTTCTTAGCAAGAAATGCCTAAGAGTAAGTGAAGCAGGAACTGTGGAATAATACTTCCAAATGATTAGTGCTCTTTAAAAATAAAAGAAAATAAAAATTCCAAAATAACAAGTTCATTTTGTTCCCATGCTCTGAAATTTACTACTTTTCCAAAATGGCCTTAAACTTCTAAAACACCAACAAAGTAGAAATTATTGATGTTGAATAAAACACAATGTCCTTGGAATTGTGTCCCAAATACTTAAGGATTTTTGATAAACCACATCTTTAATCTACAATGTCCATAATAGCAGGAGGTTACTGAAAGGAGATAACAGTTTATGATGCCTATATCAATTTTTATTGTTGGTTCTATAAGCTAAGCCAAGTTAATAGTAAGGAAGTGAGCATTTACTGATTAGCACATTGAAGAGTTTCACTTCTATGTACATTTTATATTTTAGTTAAACAAGGAAATGACTAAATGCAGTATCTTAAGTCACTGAAGAAACTGAAAAATATTTTAACCATCTTCAAAATAGCTTCCAGATTGGTTTAGAAATATGCCTTCTCAACTGACATAAATTCCTTAGGACCTATATACCCCTACTATTTAAAATTTTATTTTTTTAAAATTTTCCTGGAGATGCAATTGAACCTAGGGCCGTATACATTCTAGATAAATCCTCTATCACTGAGGTACATCTCCAGTGAGAGAAAATCTTTGATGATTTCTTTTCTATAATTTACAACAATCCTCTGAATAATGAAATCAAATAAAACAAGACATCCAATAAATAGGATGGCAGCAGTGTGCTGTTTTAAAATTCAACAAATTATTTTCTTCCCTTTTCTAATTGTGGGTAACCAAGCCCTCTTCAAGCATAGTAACTTCAGCTGGGTATAATGGTTCACAGTGGTAATCCCAGATATTTACGAGGCCAAGACTGACAGGATTGCAGTTAGAGGCCATCATGAACAAAAAAAGATTGGCAAGACCTCATCTTGATCAAACCAGGCATAGTGATGTGTGCCTGTGAGAGACCAACTATGGGCTCAAGTGGTAGTGTACCTACCTATCCAATATAGGGCCCTGAGTTCAAATCCTATTACTGTCAAAAATAA